TATTTCTAATATTATGTGATATATTAACATTCTTCATGACATTTTATAACTGTTTTATTAATTGAAACCACTCCACTAAAAGATAACTTCTACCTCTGAAGTAACAGCTGAATGTCTGTGGCACCTGTGACTGGTATTTGCTTTTATTTAGTAGACCTGTTTTTATTGCTCAGATGGAGTTGACACCCTTCTAAATGGTCTCCAATGGTATGGAGTGTCTGCTCTGGCCATCATTTTCATTGTAAACAAATCTTGACAATGTCAGGTTCCTGTCACAATCTATCAGTATCACTCACTAAATAGTGGTGTGACCGTTAATCCCTTTGAGATTCGCCTCCTTTATCAGGGTCAGCCTGTGGGAAAATTACAACTACTTACATGTCACCTAACTATAAGGGATTATTGTATTTAAATATACTTCTACTATTTTAATACAGGATGATGTAAAAGGAATTTTCACAGGTCATTCTAATTTTATACGTGATTATTTCACATTCATTCTATCCACAGTTCGTTAGAAAGATAATGTGACTGTATCGTTTGGAATTTATGCCTCGTTGCATTTAATTAGGAATCAAAATGAATTAAATAATAAATGTAATTATTTTGGGGTAAGGTTAGAATTTCTGCCACTTGCATACACAAAATTCAAAATGTTTTTGCATTTCTTTTAAAGTGACACTAATCATATTCTTTTCCCAAATAATTTTCATTTCTTTGCTACCAGAAGTTGTTGCAAATCTTAAGTAAGCATTTTTCTTATTATGATTATTATCTTGATATTCAATGACTCTTAATTTTTTTGTTCATAGAAATTTTTCTTTGCACTTTTCTCTCAATCAAGAATTTAAAGTTTCAGTTAATTTGTGAAATAACATTTCAGATGTTAAATATTCACATTTCTCTCCATTTATTACAGTTTACTTATGAGAAGTAATGACTCAAATGTGATGTATGATATAGCCATGTTTCTCACAGGTTCTATTAAACATGATTACATAACAGGCCAGTAAATAGAATGTTTCCCTTCCCTGATAGGAACAAAACCACAGATGCTCCTTATTTTAGAGAATATAAAAATCAGTTGGTGCTTATTAACAGCAGTTGAGCCAGCACTGTTACCTTAAAATATGACTGCATACTCCAGGAACATGAATGTCTGAATGTCTCCCTCTGTTTATCAGAGGATCTACCACAGCTTGGAGAGAAGATTTGAAGAAAGCATTTCAGCAGAGATAGTGTCTAATGAGTGGGTAATCTTTCTGAGTGCACTTCATTGTTAAGGTAAAGAAGTTGGAGTTCCAGGGGATTTACTCAAGGATTACAGATGCCTATGCTTATTTCAGAGCTGGATTTCCACTGTGGCGTCACCTGCTGATCTGTTAATCTGTACAGTTTTTGAATAGTGGCCCAAAGAATTGAGAAGTAGCAGAATGGAGAAAGAAGTCATTCTCAGATCAAGAGGTGCTATATATACCAGAAGAAGGACCTTAATATAGGGAAGCAGTGGGCGCTTAGAGACTTTAGAAGATTTTGTTGTCAGGAATTTGTGCACTTACAAAGTTATACTTCTTAAAGGACCAGCCATTGTTTCCAAAAGGATGCTTAGCATTTTGGCACTTGCTACACAGAAGATGGCAGTGGCCTTTTAGGCATTGCCACAGAAACTGGAGGACACAGAAAGTCTAAGAACCAGTTGAGCAAACAATTATTATTCCTTTAGAGGAAGAAGAACAGGAAGACAAGTTAAATGAACATCTGAACAAGCCCATTTGTATGGCTCCAGAAATGGCCAATACTAATGGCCAGGAATGCAGAGGGGATTGTTAACTGTACTGGATTTGTTATACTCAAAATATACTCCAGAGCATTCAGGGCCAGAAAACTGGAAACTTGACAAAGAATAATTGAAGTCAGTAATTAGAGTAGAAAGGGAGACGATTTTTATTGTAACCCATCATTTCTGGCTATTCAAAATATGGTTACTGTTACAGTAAGGCTAAGTCTGAAAACTTAGGGATATGTTTTTCTGTTTAAAACCTGAATCATCACAAGAATATGGTGAAAATATAAACTGGTGACAAGCTAGGGAAAATATCCTCAGCACCCTCAAAAAGTGAGATAGTGTATCAGCCTATTTGCTTTATAAAGAACTAGAATTGTTTTAATTTTGGGAAGGGTAGGTACTAAAAGAGAGATCTCCAATACCTAGTGTTTACATGCTTAAGTGTTTGTTAAACTGTATCTTGAGATACTTTTGTTTGTCTCTGAGGATAATTTTGGTTGTCTTTCAATCACTTGTGTGTTCTGCTGTTCACAGCTCAGAGCTACGGATACCCACAGGGTTCTCTAGACAGTGCTTCTCCACTGCCTGTGTTAGGGCTATGTCTGAGAGGTCCCTTTTGCCCTGATCCCACCTCCTACCATTAAAATATGATCATGCATTCTAAATTACCAGCGACGTGGTGCTTTACATCTATCCAAGAACTTGTGACTATTTTCCTCCACCATTTTATCTTTTTGTCATCATTTCAGTTTGATATATCTGCTTCAACCCTCCATTATAGAATGTATCCTCAGAAGATATTAGCACTTTTTCAGATTTATCTTTTTATTCTACTGCAAAGTCAAAGAACCTGTGTGGTGCTACAAGAATTGATGAGGTTATATTTATCTGTTCTTTTTCATGTTCTTTTACCAATATTAGAAATTTTGTTACGTATTGAATCTACTGCCATGTCTTGTACTCATGCAATTGTAATAGCAAACAATCTTAAATCAAAGCAGTTGAACTTGCAAATTTACAAATGTTATGGGCATGTCTGTTTCTGGATAGTCTATATTCATTTCTTGTTTACTCATGATAATAGGAGAATATTATAAATAATGCAAAAATAACTTATGGCTGACTTTGTTATATAGCGTGTATTTTTCATCAGACTTAGTTTCTTAATTGTTTAATCTATTTATTACTCAAATGAGCTAACATCATATTTAAAAAATGATGATTGGTAGAGATTACTGGGAGCTTTTTAATGCAGTGAGCAATCTAATCTAGTATTAAGAAGTTGCTGTGGAAAATTTATGTGTGGATGATTGATATTTATCTGTACAAAAAGGACAGACATCTTGATACAAATGAGAAATGAAATGAGTACCACTTTCTATATCATGTTTTTAACATTGTTTAATTAGTTTCAGGGTCATATTTTATATCTTAAATTTATGTATCAAATTTTACATCTTGTATAGATGAAATATATAATAAAAATGCTTGTACACTGATAGAGGCAGTGTAGGAACAGGGATCAGCGGTACAGTGCCTGCCTGGCAAGTGAGAGGTCATGAGTTTGATTCATGGTGCAAAAAAGAAAAAAGGAAAAAAAAAGGGCCCAAATGTGGCTTAGTGATACATCATCTGTCTAGCAAGCCTAAGGCCCTGAGTTTGATGGCTGATACCTAAATAATAAATAAATAAATAAATAAATAAATAAATAAAGGCAGTGTAACTTCATATCTAAAATCATTTATCATAACATTATTTAGACAGTACACATTTGAAAAATTCACATGTGTATAGTTTTTGGGTATTTGGCTGGTGGTAACATCCAAAAAAATTATGAGTAGAAAAGTGAGGTTTATGAACTGGTAAATTATTATTACAGTACAGAAGCAGACTACAGAAATTTCTTTTATGTGAGTCATTTCTGTATGAAGCTATAAACTTTTTTTTAGCCCAAAAGCTGTCATGGTTTCTTATAAAATAATAAAGATAATAAAGATATCCACTTTAATTGATTTTTTCATTGTTTAATAAAATTGCTTTGTTTGATTGCTGAAGAATGTGAATTGAGTTTTCATTACCCACTTCTGAACAATTTACTCTAAGATCCAGACAGTATTGAGCTAATGAGTTTGAATTTATATTGAACCTTAACTGTCTTCATGAAGTAAATGGGAAAAAATCATAGCACTACCTAAGTATTCTTCATTAAAAACTATGTTGCTGAGATTTTACAATGAGGCTTTTAGTGGAGCTAACGCATTACACTGGAGTTTTACCAACTTTGCTGTTTCCATTCATATTCTTTAAGAATATGGTTTCTTATTTTTTTTTTTGTCCTCCTTCATTTCCTCCTCTTCCTCTGCCTTCTTTTACTTCTTCAAATTCTTAGGAAAAGAAGGAAATTATAAACTAACAGGGATATTATAGAATTTTAAAATGGATGGTTTTTATATTCAGTAGATTCTGTTGCAGAATAAATTAATGTTGATTTAACTTAATTTGAGGATGTATCTAAATCAAAATGTTCTATAAACATTTTCTGAGAAGTATCCTACTAAAGTGTTTCAGGATCTAGTTAAATCAAAGACATTGCCACCAATATTAAAAAATATACACGCCTTCAAAGGGATGATTTTGACTTTGACAGTGGTAATTTAATAATAATAATAAATTAGTTTCTCTTTATTTGGAAATCCATGTGGTTATTCATACACATTACATATTTTGCTTTGCAATTGTATTTCATAAAGTGATCTTTGGTGTTCTCTGTCTAGTGTTGGACCAAATTAAGTCCTTACTGATTTCATTTTTAGCATTTGTGGTAAAATTAAACACTTTAAGTGATCACTAGCATATGATTGACTACTAGGATAACTTTGCATTTTAACCATCAGTATATTTCAGTTCCAAGAAGTCATTATCTAATTATGTAACAGAGCCCATCTAACATTAAGCTAGGGAGTCAAACACAATTGGACTCCACAAGTAGGTTCAACGTTGCAGAAATATTCTTTGCCAAAGACTTGCGATCTTATCTAAGAAATAAACAAGGAGAAAGTGCAGTTCAGGGGATATTTGTTTCCTTTAGCTCATTCCCTAGAAATCTGTTTGTCAGTATCCAAATGTGATCTACTTTTTAAAACCTCATTTCAAGTTAGTCATTGGAAGATTTGGGATAATACTGTATCCAAGTAATTTATATTCATTCCCACAGGCAGCAGTGATGGTTCTTGGGATAAGGAAACACTGCACTCTGCCCCACCTCAGGGATCTCAGGCCTCTGTTACCCACCCCCGCATGCCTGGAGCGCATAGCCTTGCAGTTAGTCATCCTCTCAACCATCTCCGGCACAGACACCTGCTGCCAAATGGTACGATGGCATTTGTTTAGCACTAAAAATGATAGTTTTCAAAAATTTACTTTTTATTGTCAGACAGTAAAATAGAACCTAATACATGGATGTGCTATGTTGAGACAACTAATCATGATAAGTTAAGTAAAACTCTAATTTTTTAAACAAGAATTTAGACTAATCAGAGGAATGATATAGTGAAGAATTGATCATGTGTTTAAAAACATGCAGAGTGGGGGTATGATAAACCATGGCACCAAGTTAGTTAGCTGTAGGTTTAATTTCCCTAAGTGGTGAATGGGTGTTATTGCATACAAATAGGAAGAATATTTTAGGTTGTGATTATTAAAATATTTTTATTTTTTAATTTTTAAATAGTTTGTCTATAGTAATTTTAATAAGTGAGATATACCATGCTTCCTAGTTTCACTTGAAACAGAGTAATGATGCTTTTTGTGTATTTTTTATAGGACTGGAACTTCCTTTTATGATGATGCCTCACCCTCTAATTCCTGTCAGCCTACCTCCAGCATCTGTCACCATGGCAATGAGCCAGATGAACCACCTTAGCACCATTGCAAATATGGCGGCAGCAGCACAAGTTCAGACTCCTCCATCCAGAGTGGAGACCTCTGTTATTAAGGTAATTGTTTCTCACGTTGTGAGAATCCATTTTTCTTTTTCTATAAGTAAGCCTCATTTGTAATATAAGTGATGATAAACAAATTATGAGAAAAATCACCTTCAGTAGATAGCCCCAGAGGTAATATTTAGACAGGCTAGGGTTATTTCAAGTCCCCTCAAGAGAAATAACGTAGAACATTAAATGATATAACTAAAATTGTGTGTCTTATTACATGTAATGTTATGTACTTATATGTGTAATCAAATGCTCTACCACTGAGCTATGACCCCGCGTTGCCATGTGTGCTTATCAGACTTCATAGTGGTTAAATTTATGAGTTGTGTCACTATGGCATATAACTCAGGTCTTTCTGATTGTATATAGCATCTGAAAAATGGGTAATACATTGTGCATATAAGACCTATATTAAGTAAAAAGATTGAATTGTAATTTGGGAATACATTATAAATTGCAAGTAACACTATAGCTATACAAATGTCATATATGACTATATGTGTGTATGTGTGATATGTGTGCATATATATATGACAGAATGCCATGTTTTCATATATGCATATAATATATACATGTATATTTTATATATATGTACATGTATATAATGTATACAATTTTACCTCCTTTCTCTCACTCTCATATATATCCATTTAGTTATATATATATAATCCAATACACATGTACATATAATTTTATAATGTTTGTTTAAATTTAAATGATTTTTAACTGCCTTTGTCAGATTGAGTGAGAACTATCGAAAAAGATCATTCAGAATAATTTTCAGATTCTAAACTGAGTAAAAAATACCTCATCTGGCATAATCATTATCTGCTTTTTCTGAATGTAACAGGCTTGAACTCAGATTAGTAAATGTAACACATCTTGCATTGAAGTTCTAGGTATTATTCATATAGAATGCAAATTAATATGCATGCAGGAATTTCTCTTATAATAGTGATTCTGTAAACAAAGATGTATCATCTCTTATATCATTTTCTGAAGTATAATTACCAGAGGAAGCAAATAACAAAACACAGTACAGAAGACCCAGATCCCACTGCTAAGAGACCTCTACCTGAAAGAATGCCAGTGAGTGGCAAACAACTGATAAGGAAAAGTTTTAAAACTCATTTATATTCTGAATGACTTTAAAAGCTTCCATTGTTACCAGATGATTTGTTATTCAAGGTATCACTACATTATTCAATTTATGATATTTCTTGAGAATTAAACATTTTTATCTATCTCACTAATTGAAGTTAGCTAGATTTCATTTGAGGAAATAAAAACTCCTAAATGTTCCTGTCACTGTGGTTAAAAAGCACTTTACCAAAATTTTAACAAGTACTAAGTAGCAATCATAAAATGTGATTATTTACAATTTAAAAATTGCTAATAACAATGATAATTATCTCACAATGTTATATCATTTTCACTTTCAACTTTTAATCTTTAATTTAGATGAGCTTTACATTGATAAATAAAGCAAAAATATGACACAAATTTGGATTTGAGTAGTTTAAAATTATAATGGGTGTCTTAGTTGTGACCTCTACGTAATTTGAATATAAGTTGTAACTTCTGTGCTCCTGGACTCAAAACCCCAGGTACATCAGGAGACTTGATTTGTTTTATTTTTCAATATAAATATATTATAAAATGTTTATGTTATATTAAAATATATAGTGAAGTTCTTTTTTAGTAAATCCTTGGTTGGTTATGTTTAGATAAATAGAAGAAAGAAGTTGATTTCCCTCTATAGTCTTCAGAAAACCATCCCGGATAGGATATTAAAAAGTCAGCAATAGTTTTATAATTTCTTAGATTAAGTTTAGGAGTGGAACAGTGCAAGTTTAGGAAGAAACAGAGAAAAAGAAAGAACAAGAAAGAATAAGAAAGTAAGGGGGCTTTTTTTTCTTAAAATGTGTACCAACTCGTAATAAGTAATAGCGACATTCTACTTTCTTATCTTTTTTTCTAAACCTGGTCTTTGCTGCTCACTACTCAGTGGCTAGAATTTAGGAGACAAGAGTTGATAGAAAAGAATCAGATGCACTCAAGAGCAGGGCCTGAAGATGATGAAGGTGACATCATCCTAGGACATCCATCTTGGGAGACTCAGGGGTCCAAAAGGTTTTTATAAGCAGGGAATAGAGGAGTAGAAAGGAAAGGTTTGTGTTAAGTGTGCGGTATGTCATCCATGCTGGGTGTCTTCATTTTCATTCTCTGTGGCATTACAACAGCCTCAACCTCCTCGAGCTATCTTCTAACTTTCTTTTTAAACAGACCTACTAGTTTTCTGAAAGTTGAATTTCACAGCAGCTTACATGTTTGTATTAGTTGGTAGATAGAACTAGAGACTACTGAGGGCCATTTTAAAGTTCACCAGACATTGTGATTCTGTAAACATGATTACTTAGCAGTTAGCATCTTCACTGTTTAGCTGGGGCTTTTCTAGAATGCTAAGTGCAAGGGAGACTTCGAGAAGTAAAAAAGATCAAGGAGAAGAAAAAAACCCATTAAAGGGTAAAAACCAGGGGGGAAAATAATTTTACAAGGACAACTCCCCAAAGGAATGAAATTTCTTAGGATTTACGATTTCTTAGGACAAAACTACTCAGAAATTTGGTTTCAGATGGATTAAAGAAGTTCTGGGTTTTGAATGTGGTAGTAGTGTTGATGGCAATAGTAGCAGTTAAATAGGAAATGATTGCTTTCGTTGAGAATGGTTATAGAAGGTAAAAGTTGATAGTTTCTATTGGCCATATCAAAGCAAAGTTCAGTTGATTATTGTGGAAGTACTTAAAGGCCCATTTGCATCTTAGTTCTCTTTCTTGTGAGACAGGCTCTCCTTATAGCATCAAATTTAACACAGACAATAAGGATGACAGAAAGTAAACACTTTTATCAGATACGTGAGACAATTGTAAAACTTTTAGATATTTATTTTTTTCATTTTATGTTAGGGAGAATACAACCAAGCAAAATAAAATAGAAGAAAGCTAATCAAAACAAGACTGTAAGTGGCACAGGATTTCAAAACAAGATAATAGGAAATCAACAATAGTTACCACAGTACCTCTTGTAATCTTCAAAATAGCTGCCCATACTTTCAGACATAGTAAAATAAAACAAAACAGAAACAGAATAATGATAATAATAATAGAATGAATGCAATACAGGACTTCAAGGTAATAGTAAATCCAAAATGGCTACCATAATACATCTTGTCATCTTTGAAACAGCTGCTCATCCCATCAGATACAATAAAATCAAACAAGATAAAACAGGAAAAAAAAAAACCCCAGCCAAACAAAACAATGAGAATTATACAGGATTTCAAAACAAGATAATAGGGAATTAACAAGGGCCACCACATTCAGAAGGCTGTCTCCCGTATATGCTACACAGTGTATTGTCATCCTCTGAATATACTACCAGCTTTAGGTCTGCAGTATTAGTGAAACACTAAACACGACAAACAGTAAGCTGTATTTTACCTCATTAGCTATCATTGCAGCCTATGTTTCTCCAGATCAGCTGGTTGCTTAGTGAAGAGGAGAAGGAACAAATGTTGGCTCTTCTTGTCTCCCTGCCCATGTGCAAAAAGAGGCTGGTATCTGGCTCTCCCCTAGTCAGCCCACAGACGGTACTGATTCACAGGAGGTCTTAGCTTCTTATTAAAAATATCCCCAACACCTCAGAAAAATCAGGTGATTAGCACCGAAAACTAAGGTTGAGAAACATTCTGTATGATGTTCTGAATATTTAGGAAAACAAGTCAATAAAGTGACCCACCTAACTTGTTTCTATTAGTAGACTTCACAGCACAGAGTTAAACATACATACATGATATACGCTGATTGTCTTACCTACTTTTTACTTGTTGCTGGGACAAAATACCTGATATCCAAAATGAAGGAAGGAAAGGATTATTTCTTATAGTTCTTAGAGCTTTCGCTCCAAGGCAGCATGGCATGATAGGCCACAGTTCATGGCAGCCGCAAACAACAAGGCAGAAACTGGCAAGAGAGAGAGAGAAACACATGCTCTTCCCACCCTTACAGAATATCCTGTCCACCACTCGGTGGGTGTGGCACTCACACCACCAATCTGAGCACCAGACAATGAACCAATCACAAGGGCTAGATTTGGTGGAGGCCTTAATTGCATGAGGCTTGGGGGCCACTGACATAAACCATGACACTAATTAAATATAGTTTGAAAAAAGTTTTTATTTTCCCAAAGAAAACACTTGTTATGTAATATTAAACAGTTTTGACCCATATGGGCAATTAGAATAGTGCTTGTCTGAGAAATTTCTAAATTTGAAGGCCAATTGAAAGTGAAATACTAAATACTCAAGAGGAATTGCACCTGTAACAGAAGAAATAGCTTCTGTGGAGATAATTGAAAAGTGAAGGAAGTTCCTGTGTTAGAATATACCTAACCCTAACCCTAACCTTTTCTAAGAGTAGAACTCAACCTAAATATGAAAGGCAATAAAAGTATGTAGTGCAAAAGAGAAGCAAAAACAGAACTCGGAAATGTATATTCTAAACATACTGTTTTTGTTACCAGTTTCTATGCAATAAAAATGCTCCAGTACTTTCTATGACTGTATTCACAACAGCACATGAAACACAACAGGGATTTTACTGAAAAGATGCTTCCTTTGAGTGAACTCCGGCCACAATTTTTTGTATAGGGCTCATGAATTACAAATGGTTTCTTATTTTTAAGTGATGGAAAAAATGAGAAGTGTATTTCCTAACACATGGTATCATATGATATTCAAATGTTAGAACCCATAAAAAATCTTTTTTAACATAAAAATTTACATGTTTTATGCAAGGAACCATAAGACATAATTGAGTCAAACTTTTTTATCTGTCCCTCTGTAGAGAAGTTTGTTGATCAGTGTATTAGACTTCTGATTGATTGAAATCCATTTTAGATTTTCGAGTAATTGAAGCAGCTCAAAGGAACTCTCAAACACAACA